CTCCAGGGTCAAGTCCCTACTAACAACACACCCTAAGTAGGAGAGACAAAGTCTCATCATGGTCGCTTCAAAGGAGAATTGGGCAGTACTTCCTCCAAAATAGATTTGTTTTTCTGGCAGTCCATGGTACCTTCAATATTCTTCACCAACACCATAATTCAAATGCAATAATTCTTCTCCAGTCTTCCTTATTCATTGTCTAGTTTTTGCATGCATATGAGATGGCTGTAAATACTATTATGTCTTGGGTCAGGTGAACCTTAGTTCTCAAACTGATATCTTTGCTCTTTAACACTTTAAAAAGGTCTTTTGCAGCAGATTTGCTAAACGCAATACATCATCTAATTTCTTGACTTGCTCCATAAGAGCTGATTATGAATCTAAGTAAAATGACTTATGTAATAGGGAATAAAATTTCAGGGGAATCGTTCTTAACATGTTTTATCAAAGTTCTTAATTAAAGTTTTAGATCTGCATATTTAAATTCTAATTTTCAATTCTTTCTACCTCCATTCATTTCTTATTATTTGTCATATTGCTTACATCTCATCCTATCTCACGGCCCATTCCCTAAATCCCTGCAGTATCTTCTGCACCTACCAACCTCTGCCCATCCCCACTGAGAAGTATCCATGGTTTAAAAAAAATCAACATTTCAGAACAGAACAGGATAATATCAAAACATGGACTGAATCAGCAGTAGAGGAGTTAAAACGATGATTTAGGATGAAGCAGACAGGAAGCAAGATACAATGCTAGGATGAAGAAGAATCCATACAACAAACTGAGTCATAATCTGACAGGAAAGCATATGAAGGATTGTGGAAGATGGAAGATGATTAAAACTGTAAATTCATTATAAGAAAAGATTTCTCTGATAAACAGGGAAGACATACCAATTAAGAGTTATGTCAGCAGTTCGAAATACCAGCTGTTCCGTGGAGAAAGATGATGCTTTCTGCTCCCGTAAAGATTTATAGCCTCGGAAACCCTGTACAGGGTCACTATGAGTTGGAACCAACTTCACAGCACATAACAACAAAAACAAGAAGCATCTATTATAGTGTAACTGTATTAAATTACTTCTTTATATGTCTGTCTCTCCTACTAAACTGTGAGCTCCTTGAAAGAAAGTTTTGTAATTTTGAAGAACTGCCTGGCACAGGTAGGATCTATAGATGAGTAAATAATTGTGACTCACCTCCTTATCATCTTCCATCCTAGTAAGTAGTAGTAACCAATTGAGTTAATAGGAACTTTTATTTTGGTTAAGACAGAGCAAGATGACATTTTCATTAAGATAAATCACTAAAAGCCAGATACATAGACCATTTTATCCTCATGAAATTGCCTGCTTCTGATCACACGCACAGAAAACTAGTCCCTGATGATCTTTAACATAAACTCAAATTTTAATTAAACAAAAAACAAATCCTTGTGATTCTTACAAGGAAAAACAATAAAAATTAAAATAGTGAAATAATACATATCTAATTAAAATTCTAGGTAGAAATACAATTGCGGATACATGTGTAATGTCCATTTAGTAAGTGATGGAAAGGGAGCAGGTACTGAAAAACAAAAGTATGATTTAGACTGATATGCAGATTATATTCTTTTCACTAAAACATACTATTATTTAAAACAATACAAAACAAAAATATCAATACCTAGAAATTCCACAAAAACAGTTTCATTCATTTTTAGTTGTTCTGAGCAAGCCATCACTCTGTTTTGAATTTCTTCATGTTCTGTTTTCTTCTTATAATATTCACGTGAAAAAGGTGTTTCAGAATATTTTAGCTGATATTGCTTCAAAACTTCTTTATACTGACATATATAGTCATGATACATTTTTCTGCAAAAATTAAAAGAAATAAATAATGATGTGGCACAAGTCTTGAAGGGGACAGTCAATTTTTATAAAAGGATATGAGTCCTTTCTTCTCATTTTCCCTGTGCTTGATCTGCAACAGAGGTCAGCAAACTATTGTCCATCTGCCAAGTCCAGCCTGACTCCTGTTTTTGTACAGCCCATGAACTATGAATTATTTTTATATTTTAAAATTATTGTTATTGTCATTAGGTGCCATTGAGTCGGTACCGACTCATAGCGACCTTATGCAGAACAGAAGAAGGAAAAATGGACTACTTCCAAATATTCAAAATGATTGGGGGAAAAAACTTATAAGAAGAAAATATTTCAGGATAAATTATAATTATATAAAATTAAAATTTCAGTGTCCATCTTGGTGTGGCACTGTAAGATAAGCACAGAATGCTAACAGCAAGGTTGATGGTTCAATCCCACCAATCACTCTTTGGAAACCCTATACAGGCTACTATGAGTTGGAACCAACTAAACAGCACCTAACAATAACAACAAATAAAGTTTTATTGGAACATAGTTCATTTATAAATTGTTAAAATTGCTTTTGCAACACAATAGTTACAACAAAAACTGTATGGCTCATAAAGCCTAAAGCCTTTATTATCTGGCCTTTTACAAAAAAAAGAGTTTTGATTACCCTGATCTAACATCAAAAATGTTCAATCTGGTTCTTTATAGACTACACAGGAGGCTTCAAAAAGTTTATGGAAAAATTCTATTATATTTTATTCATTTTTGCTACCAACTTTTTAAAGTCCCCTCATGTATGTTTGAAGCATTTTATCCAATTCTTATCAAATACTGAAGTTTCAATAAGTAAGCATACAAAAATTATGAAAAATACAAATGACTTATGTTTCTAAATATGCTCTTAATTTTATAACTTGGATAAAGCTATCCTATATAAGGAATTTCTTGGATGATGGTACACCAGCTTTTTCTTTTTGCTCCTTTCATTCCTCTAAGCAATCTCATCAACTGCTGATTTTAAATGCCAATTAAATCCAAATATATATATATATAGTCCCTACCTTCTATTAAGATTCATATTTGAGTATAAAGAATACTGCATTCTAGATTTGTCTGTGTAATTGAAATATAAAAACAGATACTGCTTTGGTCCAATTATGTTAACAATAAAAACATTTTTAGTTTCTTAATTAAGTAAAAAAAAATTTTAGTGTTATATAATATGTTCAAAATCCCTTACCTTACTTCACTAATCATATTTCATATCAAAGACCACATAATTATACACATAATAAATAATTATACACATATATACCCGATGGTAGCATAGTGGTTACAAATCGGGCTGAGAACCGCAAGGTCAGCAGTTCGAAACTACCAGCTGTTCCACGGGAGAAAGATGAGGCTTTCTGCTTCCGTAAAGATTTACAGCCTCGGAAACCCTGTACAGGGTCGCTATGAGTTGGGACCTACTCCAGGGCACATAACAACAACAATATACCCGATAACTATCAGTCCTCCATTAAACATAATCACCCCATTAAATCAGCAAACTCTCAAAAACAGAAATTTGGTATAAATAACCTTCAAAAGTCAATATCTAAAATTTGTAATAAACTAAGTCTATAGATTTCCTCCAGATTTTTCCTATAATGGTTAAATCATAAAGACGATTACTTGAAGAATTTTACTGTAATTGCTACTGAGATAGTTTTATATCAAGGAACATCTGAATATAGCTAGGGCTTTACAACAAATATGTAGAGCTCTGGTAGCAAACAAAGAATCCAAAATCCTTCATATACTTAAAAAAATTTAAATCTTCCCTTAACATACATTTAAGTATTTTTCAATGAATATTCTTGCAAAGAATAATGTCCTGTTAATACTAACATATAGAATTGAAAAGCTTAAATTAGTATGTATACTGTACTTGTCTTTTTCAATAGTTTCTTGATAAATCATAAATTGGCTCTGCATATAATCTTCATGCTTATGAAAAACATCATATGTTGGCTTCCAGCTATGGAAAAAATTATATTTGTAATTAGCATTTTAGAATGATAAACAAATTAAGAGAGATAACAAAAAGGGAACATGATAATTTAAAGATAACTGACTCAATCTCTTCCTACAGAAAAGAAGCTTGCATCAAGAAAAATATTCTCATCTCCAATAAACACAGCCACTCATATACTTATATATATATATACTCAAATATCTATCAATTTTTATGTAAAACCTACTCTGGAACCATGACTAGGGAAGGGTCAGATGTGGCATGCAATTTTTATCATCTCTGCAACATTCCAATCATATTCTAAGATAGTAATAAAGTCTTTTGGAGAAGTATGCAGAGAGCAAAGTTATGACTAAAGACTGTTTTTCCTACTTTGAAACTTAGAACAGTACGTTATCAGCTCCTTCTGAACTAGAAGGAAAGAGAGTTCTCAAATTAGATAATAAGACTAAAATTAATATCCAGCTTATACATTATTCTATTATATGAAATGAAAAATATTATCAGTATAAAAATTATGTAATTAATACACTCCATGGCAGCTTCCATTCTAAGCATTACTTAAAAGTTTCCTTTAGCTCTTTTCTCTAAACTTTTTTTCTACCAGATTCAAAAAGTATATGTGCCCACTATGGAAACACAGGAAAGTATATAGAAGAAATAACTATCATCTTAATTCTCAACATTCAGTAACAACTGTTACTAATAAATTGATTCCAGATTTGTTGTTAGACGTCATTGAGTCAATTCTGATTCATAAAGACCCTATGCACAATAGAATAAAACACTGCTTGGTCCTGCACCATCCTCACAATGGTTACACTTGAGCCTATTGCTGCTGTCACTGTGCCAATCCATCTTGTCGGGGGTCTTCCTGTTTTTTGCTGACTCTTCACTTTACCAAGCATGATGTCCTTCTCCAGAAGCTGGTCCTTTGTGATAACATGTCCAAAGTATGAAAGACAAAGTCTTGCCATCCTGGCTTCTAAGGAGCATTCTGGCTGTACTCCGTCTAACACAGATTTGTTTGTTCTTCTGGCAGTCCACAGTACTTTTAATATTCTACATCGTAACTCAAATGCATGAGTTTTTCTATGGTCATTCTTATTCATTGTCCAACTTTCACATGCAAATAAGGTTATTGAAAATGCCATGGCTTGAGTCAGGCACACCTTAGTCCTCAAACTGTTATCTTTGCTCCTAAGTACTGTGAAGTCCTGGTGTGGCATTGTATGATAAGCACTCCAGAACAAGGTCTATTTGAACTGCAAGGTCGGAAGTTCAAACCCATCATTCTCTCCTTAGAAACCCAATACAGGGTAGCTATGAATCAGAACTGACTCAGAGGCACTTAATAACAAAAACATCAAACACTGTAGAGAGATCTTGTGCAGCAGATTTGTTTAATGAAATACACTGATTTCTTGACTGCTATTTCCTTGAGTGTTGATAGTGGATCCAAGCAAAATGAACTCTTTGACAACTTCAATCTTTTCTCCATTTATCATGATGTTATCGGTCCAGTGGTGAGGAGTTTTGTTTTCTTTACATTGAGGTGCAACTCTTACTGAAAGCTGTGGTCTCTGATCTCCATCAGTAAGTATTTTAAGTCCTTTTTAGTTTCAGCAAGCAAGGTTGTATCATCTGCATATTGCAGGTTTTTAATTAGTTTTTTTTTTTAATCCAGATGCCATCATCCTTCTTCATATAATCCAGT